ATTATGTCCGTGATGCATTTTGTCTTATATTTTAGTTTATTGATGAATGATTTCAAATAGCATATCAGATAACATGGACTAGTATTGCTAAACCAACTTTTTTTTTTTTTCATTTTTGCAGTCTTTTTGTTTTAATGCATTTTATTGAACTATAATTTATGTATAGTGAAATACATGAAACTAAAGTGACATGGGTCAATGCATTTTTTTTTTTTTTTTTGCAGTGTTCCCTCTCCTTCCCTCCCACGCCTGGCAAACAACAAAGAAAGTTTCCTTCTCTATATATAAACCTTTCCTTGACCCTCCACAACAACAAACTAATACTAAATTTACCCTTCTGTGATTAACTTGTTTCACTCAGCATCATGTCCTCCAAGCTCATCCATATTATGTGGTGTTTTGCAGACTCTACCTTATTCTTTAGTGCTGCATAGCATTCCATTATGTATATGTACCATAGTTTGGTCATCCACTCTTCTGCTATAAGTCCCTTGCCATATATGTAATTATTGGCAAATAATTTGTTGCTGTCTTTTTTGTTATGTGTGCTTTTTTGTGGTGTTGATTTCTTTGTTCCATATAGTTTTCTATGCTGAGCTCATTTTGTTTATGAATCGTGTTATCACTTCCTTCATTGCTATTTTAGTATTTGCTGAATATCTATGCTGGTCCTCTTTTTTGATATGAAGGTTTATCATTTTTCTTTGAGGCTACCCTGTGATTTATAGTTTTCTTCCCAAGTTTAGACAGTCCGTTCTATCTTTTAGATATCTTGACTTCCCTACCATCTAGAAGTTCTGTAACGTAACAGTTTTTTTTCCTTCTTTTTGGTTTGTAGTTGTCCTCATTTGTCAATTGATGTCTCCAGTTACTTGTTTACAATCTTGTAGGCTTATTTACTTTGGACACTTCTGTAGCTGGGTTGGTTTCTAGGTTATATCATCATGTGTGTTAATGGTCAGTTGTTGGCTGTTGTTGCTTCTCTGTACAAAGGGCTCCCTTTAGCATCTCTTGTAAGGTTGGTATGGTTTTAACAAATTCCCTTAATTTCTGCTTATCTGGAAATGTCCTAATTTGACCATCATATTTGAGGACAATTTTGCTGGTTGGAAATTTTTCTCTTTCAGGTTTTATATATACCATTCTCACCAAGCTTAATCTTATTGGTTGCCCCTTGTAGGTAACTTTTTATTTTTCCCATG